CAATTGCAATAACGTGTCCGGCATATACAATTCTCATTTGATTCACTATTATTCGAGGTTTCGAATCAAAATTTTTATAAGTGTAAATTAGAATTTTTAGTTTTTTTTTTTTTGTTTTAAGCTCTTGAAGGAGAAAATATGCTTGACAGTTCTTGACAGCTTATCGAATTCAGTCAGCAAATTCTTAAAATTGGCCATTTTGTGCTCACTGGTGTTCCCCACATTTACTTCCCCTTCCCCCTCCCCTTAAAAAATAGCCGGGGTTTTTTGTCGCTTTATGAAAAGTGATGTAATATTTCACGATTACTTTCGTGAGCTTTAGGATCGATGATCGTTTCCCAGCACTATGCCTTTTGGTGAAGCACTGGGCGATCACTGCCAATATCAATAATGCATTGCTTGGGACGCTAAATAGGTTTGTTGCAATTTGTATTCTTTTTATGCAAAAAAATCGCATAATTCAACGGCCGTTGCTAAAGAGTGAAGCGGAAGGCCTGAAGGTATGAAATGAATCTGCACACGCAACAAATCTGCAAGCAAATCCAAATTAATTGAACTTGTGGCTTATTGCTGCATAGCAGTGATATTGGAAATTTTGCTGTTTTTGCCGTTGTAACATTTTTATGTCTTAACATTGAAATCGTTTTTTCCAGATAAATTTCACGCAAATTTCGCCAGATCTTTAAAATTAAGAGTTTTTTTTTTTTTTTTTTTAATGCAGTTGTAGGGAAATTGAAAGTCTTGAATGTGCGGAGCAGCAACAACATTTTGCCAGTTCCCGTCATTTTATGAAAAAGTTTTCGGATAATTCCTTCTCTCCAGGGTTCCTTCTGAAAGCAATTTTACTCATAGGGCAGTTCGGTGAACTCTGGCGGGTTTGCTTCCCCTTCTGGTGGATTTGTATAAATGGTTTCTCTTCGAGAATGAATGGATTGTCATGAGATCAGGAATGAAATAGATTGTGAAGCGCATATGTGTATTATAAAAAGTTAAGAAGATGTAAGGAGGACATGTGGGGAAGCTAAATGTGAAACTGGCTGTCTGTGTTTCATCCCTAAGCTGCAAACACAGGCAGTATACGGTGTGGATTGAGGTGGGAGTCATCAGTGCAGAACGCAACGCAGCATTTCCTGAAGCCCATATTTTTTCTTTTTTTTTTTGCTTCATCTGCTATTGTGTTTTAGCTATTCACTGATTCTAATGGTATTGCACTTCCTGCAATGTGGAACAATGCCTCCAGTTCTGCCAAATCTTCAGCATTTGTACCCGGATACATTTAGCGCTCGCCGTAGCGTAGAAAGTTTAGAACTGTTCCGGGAGTTGCCACATCCGTTGCCAGGTATGTATTTTTTAGTGCGCTTTCGGGCAAAG